AATAGTGAGATCATTTATTAATATTTAATTAAATAATATTTAAAATTATTTATTATATATGTAAATGCACTAAAACGTAAAAATTATATACATATGAAAATATAATTCAATACAACCCAAAATACTACAAAAAATACACGATACAACCTTAATTGAAGTATGAAATTTATTAATTTCAAAAATGACTCAATTAAAAATGTATCAGTCTAATAAGTAGCTTTTAATCACAGCCAAACATGCATTTAGACCAACAATGCATAGATAACTATTGCCTTGAAAGAATAACACGAAGGAAAAATCGAGATCCCTGTCATCAAACATTTGTTATAATGATTTTGCAGGGTAAAGAATTCACTATCTTCCAACCTGCTCAGGAGTATTTGCCCTCAATTAAGAAGGTAATTTTACTTATTTTTGCTTAAGCACTTTGATTAATTTATTAGATCAAGAAATAATTTTTTTATTCAAATAATTTTTTTTCTATAACAGATGTTAAATGAATTGAAAACTCGAACCTGCAATATAGCGGCGATTTTCGATTTTAGTAGAGGACAATAGGTTTTTGTCGTTCCTTATAGTTCCACAATCGGCATCGGCTCATCGCCCGTCGGCGGGAAGCAGTAGTAGCAATCGACGGCGGGTCTGGCCGTCTGGGTAGTTCACAAATCGTCGGCAGCACTGCAGCAGAGTAGGGAGGAAAAGTGGAAAATCGAACTATCGAATTCGAAGTCTGAAGGGTTTGGAAATTGCTAACCAGCCGGGTATGATGCTATTATCCTTCTCCATGGATTGGCCGATTATTGGGCCTAATATTTTTTTTAAAAATGTCCCGACTTTCCTCAGCCCAAAACTAAAAAAAAAAAGGCAAACTCAAAATCTTCATCTTCTTCACTTCTTCATTCAGTTCTGGCGTTCTGCAATTACCACAGCCTCCTAGTTTCTAGCTCCGGCGCCCGGCGACAACTGAAACTCCCAGCGGATCCAGTAGGGGAGGCCGCGAGGGCTCGCCAGGCGCTTGTTCCGCCCCGGCATAAGGCCCTGTTTGATTCACATTCTTAAAAAAATGCATTCTTTCAATACTCATTTTCAACCACACAATCTTTAATAAAATAATATTACACGCAATTTCAAAACTTTTCCTTCTTTTTTAACCACATATTTTCCACCACATCACTATTTAAAATGCATTATTTCTTTAAAAATGTGCATCAAACATGGGCTAAATAAGTTTTAGAACACTTGGTAGAAGCATGTGATGATTTTAAAGCATTTAGGGATACAAAAGTTTATTTTTCGATATTGAATTTTGAGTTCTTGTTTGACATGATTATATGATACAATATATATTAATATTAATAAAGTAAGCAAAACAATAAAACATTGTAAAGTGAGGCGTGTCACATGTCTTTTGATGCTACTATTAGTCACTTAAAATTACGTATCTTATTTTTTT